TTAATTTTATCTCTTAAACTCTTTGTGAGCCAACCTGGTTTTTACTTGCAGCTACCCTTTTCTTTCTATAAGGAATACTTTTAATATTTAAAAATTTTACACATCTGATCAGTGTCTCCAAATAACTTAGCTGCTCAATTCACAACAGGTAATTCTTGTCGCATCCCTTCAAAATTTGCTTTTTTGAAATTTGTAACCAAAATATCATTATTCCTTATCTCCATATGCAGCAAAACATTGAACTTAATAGAACAATGATCACTTGCACCCAGATGTTCCCCATTTTCCACCCTCTTGGTCATTTCTGTATTTGAAGTTAACAATAAATATAAAATAGCATTGTTTGTGGTAAATTCCGTGACCAACTGGTGAAGAAGACCATTCTGAACAGTTTCTAAAAACCTTTCTCCCTCATGGTTTGACTCTAGTATTGCCCAATTTATATACCTGAAATTAAAATCACCCTTAATTATGACTTCATTAACAGCTGAAATCTTAATCTCGTAGTAAAGTTTCTCACTAATTTCATTGGTATCATTTGGTGATCTGTAACAAATTCCCACTAAAAGCCTTTTCCCTTTATATCCACTGATAGAAATCCAAATGAATTCAATCTCCATGCTATTATCTTTGATATCCTCAACTTCAATGGGATGTAACTAACATTACACATATAAAGTCACTCCTCACCCCTCATCTTTAATATTCTATCCCTATTAAATAGCCTGTAACCATGTTTCAGTTTTTTCCATTATATCAAAATCCTCCCTTCCTACCAATGCTCTAAAGTAATCTGTTTTATTTCGTATACCTCTAGCATTACAATAGTAACAATTAAGCCTATCCTTATAACTACTTATATACTCATTTACTATACTAAACTTTTCTTTGTCTCTTGTTATTTTTTGCATGTAGTTTATCCTGGCCCTCACCACTGTCTAGTTGTAGTTTAAAACTTCTCTTACAGCTAAAATTAATAGCCGTAGCAAACAAGTCAACCCCTATCTTATTTAAATGTAAACCATCCATTCCACAAACCTCCCTACTTCCATTGGACTGATCTCACAAGTCCAACCAGCCAATCTGCTCATCCTTACATACTAACCTAAGCCTAGCATTTAGCCCTAGTGACCTACTTATAACTTTATCCCTACAGTTAATTATGGGCAGTATCTCAGACAATATAAAGTTATGGCCTTTATCAACCCCTTGCACTTATTAATTAGTTCCTCTGGCCTACCTTTCCCTACATCATTAGCCCCTATGTGCAAAACAAAAACTGCATCTCTGCTAGCCCCCTTTACTATATCTCCAGCTCTGTCAGTTATATCCTCCACCTGTGCTCCTGGGTAGCATAGTCTAATTCTTTTCTCCCTATTTACCCACAGACTATCTTATCCACATTCCAAGGAATCACCTATAACTATAACCTCCTTAACTTTATGATACATATACATCTCTGTCCCTTTTGTTTTCTTCCCCTCCAATAGTTTCTCATCTGTATAAGCCAAGGGCTGAAATCTGTTGTTCAATAGAATAGACTCATTACAATTAAATCCACTACTTTTAGCCCTAAAAGTACTCTTTCTAACTTCCTGAAACTGAAAGTTATTGTCAGCTTATGTACTCCTTGCATATAAAAGCTTAAGCTCCTCTTGAAATCCTGCTGCCATTTCTCACAGTCTAAACCTCTCTTTTATCTATCACCTCTACTTTAATCATGATTGCCTCCAACCTACAAACTCTAAATAAAAATTACACATCTTCATTACTAGCTTCCTTAAAAGTACATGCCAGTCCCGAGTTCCCAAATAAAACCCAATCATTGCACCTAACAAACTGTGAACACTTAACTCGTACCTAATCGTAACCATTGTATATATAATACTTATAGCCTGGAAATAAATACTCAATACCGGTATCCTATTGTTAACACTGTTACTGTTAAGCCTGATGTTTAAGAACCAATTACATTATTATTATTTTTTATTACTGGTTTATTTAATTCATATCTGATAGCTACATGGACATGAGATGTTCAAGGTACAGTAGCAAGTAAACAATTGGAATGTTGCATGACCTGATATTTTTTACAATTAAAAACTCATATGAGAAATGTTCCTGTGATTTACTGTTTCAAATTACATTTTTTGAAGAAACCTGTAACAGAAACCTAAAAATTATTTTTTTAAGTCCAACCACAGTTTAGTCCTCGTTCATTATTTCACCCAAACTTGATTCATGACAAATACTGTTAATTAATGGCTTGTAGACACAGTACACATCTGAATTGGAGTGCTCAATATTGAGCCTCATTTGATGTTACTACCTTATGAATGGTTGATCAGTTACTTCAGAGATAACTAAAAGGTTGGACTTTTTTCATCATTTCAAATATTTCTGATCAATTGATCTTGATTAAGAACAATTTGATTTTTCTTTGCTAATAGCAGAGGCAAGAGGGAGTTTTAGTTCCTGGTGTGGTGTATCTTAAACATATCCCACATGGTTTCTATGAAGAGGAAATGTACAAATACTTCTCCCAGTTTGGAAAAATTAAGAAACTTCGACTTGGAAGAAGTAAGAAGGTAAATGCTGTTTTTTTAATTTTTTATTGTATATGTGTGTGTATGTGTATATACATTATGGGGATTATTTTACCTTAGAATATGGATTTACGTCTGACCTAAGTGGCCAAAACTTGAGATATTCTGGTTATAACATCCAAAAATATCACTAATAGCATAGGTAACTAACTGATTAATCAATGCATTCTGATCATTATAAGTTAGAATGGTATGTTGCTATATCAATTTTTAGTTCTGACCTTTGTAGATCGTTTGCTTTTATCAGAAGTCAATGATAAGTCCCCATGAACTGTAAAAAAACAAACATTACTGAACAGAAAACCAATTAGAGTAAGTTATATACTTAGAGTGAAACTAACAACCAACATTATGGTCAGTATAGCTAGTTAACTATATGTTATAATGTTCCTGCTGGTAAAGATTAGAATACATCGTTTCAATAGTTGGGTACACTCCCAGTAAAATCTCACAAGGTTTGGCCAGTTTTGGAAGTTTAGGTTAGTCCTAAACACATATATTTAAGCTAACAAATGCAAAAGTGTATAATAATGATATAAAAATAAAAAGTATAACATTTGATATATTAAACTGTCCAACTGATATTTTAAACTAAAGTAGCAATAAGTAAATTACACAGTATACCCTAGGGAACACTAGCTGTTGGCTTGAAATACACAGTACACCCTAGGGAACACTAGCTGTTGGCTTGAAATACACAGTACACCCTAGGGAACACCAGCTGTTGGCTTGAATTACATAGTATACCCTAGGGAACACTAGCTGTTGGCTTGAATTACATAGTATACCCTAGGGAACACTAGCTGTTGGCTTGATTTACACAGTATACCCTAGGGAACACTAGCTGTTGGCTTGAAATACACAGTATATCCTAGGGAACACAGGAACACTAGCTGTTGGCTTGAATTACACAGTATATCCTAGGGAACACAGGAACACTAGCTGTTGGCTTGAATTACTGTTGTAGAATTAATTTTCTTTGATAAATGTAACATCTGTATAACACGAGTGAATTTTTACCACTTCTTCTTAACACATGTTTTGACCAATGAAAAGTCATTAAGCCACTCTGCAGTGTAATGTTAGAGATTTATATGTTACTGTTTAAGCTGTGTTGAGTTAACATATTGAACAAAGTAACCTGGTGTGTTAACTGGTACCATTGTTTGTACAGTATGTTCAGAAAAGATCCCTCAAATATAACCAGGGATCTTTATTCATTATTTGTCAAAAGAATAAATATAAAATAAAAATGTTTTTGTGATCTCTTATCATGTGTATAAAGTTACACTAAAGTAAAGTAGTTCTTTGTATTTGTACAGAAATCATATAATAGCTTGTGGACCACAAATACAGAGTTGGTCCTTTGGTAGTCCTTGCATGCCCATCATTGAGAAAAGTAAAAAATTAAACCCACCTTTACATTTTGAGAATTTGTTGATTTCCTTTTTAAACTTCTGTACAGTGCTGGCCCGCACTACTACAGATGACAATTTACTCCTTAAATTAATTCCCCCTGTGTGAAAAATAAAACTGCCTTACTTGGAGCCTAACCTGTGTTCTCTTGTTCATAATTCGTAATATAGCACAAAGAAATCAGTGGCCTTTATCCTATCAATCTCCCTCCCCCCACATAATCGTGTAAAGTTCAGTAAGTTGAGATCTTATCCTATCCCTTTACGAGAACCTTTCCATTCCTGAATCTTTCTACTAGTCCTTATCAGAACCTTTTCCAATAACTCAATATCCTTTCTTAGATAAGGAAACCAAAACTGTATACAGTATTCTATGTGAGGTCCAAGTAATGACTTGCATAGAGATACTTACCTCTTTTTACTTGAATAATTATGTTTATAAATACACCAAAATTTTATTGGCTAGAAACAGAGCACTGCTTCAATGGCTTGAGTGACTTATCCATGAATATGTCAATATTATTTTCTTCAGTCACATTATTGAGTGGATTCCCATCTATTAGGTCATCAAGAAATTAATGTCGTATTTTGGAATACTTTCATTAACCACCTCCCAAAAAATGTACATCACTTATAATAGTTAAACGAACTGCCTAAACATCACGTTAGTGTAGCCTATATAATGTGTATTATTTAGTATACTCTAATTCTTTATACTGATTTCACATGACGAGACACACATTTGGCATGTGATGCTGTTTGAATACAAGAAGGGAAACAATGCCTCTGTAGCAACAAAGAATATCAAAGAAGTTTATGGAAATGTTTTGAATGGTTGTAAGTGTCAACGATGGTTCAGATGACATTAGCATTAAAAACTGTGATTGTAGGGGGCCGACATATTGGAATTGATATTGATCTCTGAAGACACTTGTTGAGTCTAACCCAAGGCAACAAATTTGTGAAATGGCCCTGAAATTGTATGTCTCTCATGAAACAATACATAAACATCCAAGAAATATGGGAAAACTCCTTAAAGGTGTTCGGGTGCCTTACAAACTCTCCAATGATCATCGTTTCCAACGTGTGAACATTGCTTCATCTCTTCTGGTGCATAATTTGCTTGAAGCATTTTTGGACAGAATTGTCACTGATGATGAAAAATGGATTCTCTATGTGAATATTAAAATAATGGCTCAGTCCTAGTCAAAAACCACTTCCGAGCCCAAAACCTGGACTCCATCTGCAAAAAGTGATGCTTTGCATTTGGTGGGACATCGAAGGAGTAATTCATTTTGAACTCCTCAATCCACAGGGAACTATCAATGCAGAGATCTATAGTCAGCAACTGGAACACTTAAATCAAGCCTTTCATCAGAAATGCTCTTCACTCATCAATCAGAAAGATGTTCTTCTCCATGACAATACACGTCCACATGTGGCACACTTGACTCAACACAAGATTATGGAGTTGGTTTGGGAAGTTCTCCCCCACCCACAATATTCTCCAGATATGACACCATCAGATCACCTACCTTTTTTCCTTGCTGCAACACCATGTTAATGGGAAAACGTATGCAAATGTGGAAA